TATCTGTGAACTTTCCGGTGAGTGGTTCAAGAACTTCAGCTTGGAAACACACCCCTGGTGAAACTGCACCCCATTTTAGCTCCTCTCTCAGGAGCATAGTGTTCACCAATCACTTAATAGGGCAAGAAGTTAAAAGTCCTGGGCTTTCTAATGGCAGGGGACAGGATGGCTTTACTTCAATATTTTTCAACAACAGAGGGTGTGACATTCTTCTCCTACTTTTTAAGTTCTCAATATTTGTGGACACTGGCACATACCATACTGAGTAGAAAACTAGCTTCATAATTCTACAGTACAAACCCAGTGATAAGGCAAACATTCGCAATTACAGACCAATAAATGTAACCTCAGTTATCTCGCGGTTCATGGAGAATGTTTTTAAAGATCAGTTATCGGATTATCTGCTTAGGGAATATCGTGCTTCAAGGTCACAACTCGGATTTCTCAAAAATAGGTCCTGTGTTACTTACTGGTTAACCCGATGGATGTCAGGTCGCATGACGTGGATATCCTTGTGTGTTTGGTCTACAACATGTAGACAAAGACAATGAGACTCGTGGGGTAAACAAGAGGACGCATCGAATTGACTATTCATCTGGATTGTTTCCAGTAATGTCCAATTGTTAGTACAAGGCGAATGCGCGTCGGACTTGTTTGAGGTAGTTTGTTGGCTGTATTCATTGACACAGTTGCATGTGAGCAAGTGGCATAAAGGTGTTGTTCAACAGTTGAACTGTGCACGCTTGACGTGGAAATTGATGTGTGGAGATTCGTTTTTTCTGTTGAGGATAGATCGATGTTTGTGGTGTTGTTTAGTGGAGACTTAGCTCGAGGCCTCGCCGAGACTCGAACACGGGTCGCTGGATTCAGAGCCCAGAGTGCTAATTTTGCCCCACTTAGTACCGCATCACACACTCCTTCAGTACACTAACAACATCAAATATCAACTCACCATCTACTCAAAGCGCTGCAACTCAACGACAGACACTTGAGCCAAACACTCTTCTCTCTCTCCCCGTCCGACAGACACATCATCGTCCTGATGACCAGCTAATGCTCAGCATAATCACAGGGAAGCGGGACTTGGGCTGTGCCCAAATCACCATAGGCGGAGATTTTGGTGCCCCGTCACTGAACTTTGACTCAGGGTATGTTGAGGTAAAATTCGGTCGAAATCTACTGCAAACCATTAGAAATACAGGACCGACTGAGGACATCAGAAAAGACACTAGGTGGGGCCCTAGTGGAAAGTCATCGAAACTAGATTATGGATAGAAAAGGTCCTCATGGCTCAAGAGAGGTACGCAACATATTCTGCAAGTAAAGCGGAAGGTTTGGTGTAGGTAGTGAACATCCAAGAGTCGGACCGACCACAGTGCATACCTGGAACTCAGAAACCAGTGCAATCCAAGAGTCAGGAGTGACAGGAAGTCATTTCAGGCTAACCTTACCAAAAATCTCCTGGCAAACACCTAAGAGCCTGTACCGATGTGGTGAGAGCTGGCTGCTAGCCAAAGTTGGTAGACCGTAATTGACGTCAATGTTTATGTCCCCAATATTGGTGGGGAGAAAATGAGAACAAAGGCTCTGCGTAGGTGGATACAGTTAGCATATGGATGATCTGACACAGCTAAAAAGAGATCAAGGTTAACTTCCTGTGAGAAACAACCAATCAAAAGACTGTTTTTTCTACTAACAATAATCTACAATAATGTACATTAAAATCTATAAATACGTATTGATTTTCCTTAATAAACGATCTGTTGCCTGACCCTTGTCTTCTGTTGTTACACAATGAGTGATATTCTTTGCACTGAAGGATGAACCCATCACCCCATCGTCTCAAACGCAGAAGCCTTATCCACTAGACCACCTCTTGAGCAACGTGTGTCAGTCATTATTTATGTTTTTATTCAATTTTGATTTTCTGATTGATTGATTAGGGGCCAACTTGTCAACAGGGGCCGAATGCTTTGGTCCGGTCAATCAGCCGAAAAATTGAAATCGAGTTAAAAAATTAAGGTGACTTTTGATTGTTGTGGGCATTCAACTAAATTTAAAGAGTGCTGATACACAGGATTATGCCATGTACACTTCTCTAATCACTCTAAAATGACCTGATCGATATTACTTTATTTTAAATTATTATCAAGAATAAGACTCGATGCCGTACACACCAAAGTTATATGGACGAATTACTTCAAGCTTTATTTTTTTCCCAAGTATTTGTAATCCATCCAAAACATACTTGGGTTTTTTTTGTTAATGCGAAGACAATACTTCTATATTTCTTGATGTGCTCCATTGAATGACTAGTTATCATATTGTTCCCATAGACAAAATGACTGCAACCTTATAATTTTACCATGAACCAAATTTATTTAATTTAAATAATACTTATCCATGCCTGTACAATTGGTGTGTCCTACACAGGTAGGAAAAAATGTATTTTATTAAATTATTATTATTAAATATGTTTACTAATCGTATATGTAATTTATCATATTGATGATGCCTGTAAACTGGCGTCCCTCATGTACAAAATGAGAATATACTATTATTACCTTTGTCTGGCGAAGTTAAACAATAGCGTCCAAAGGGATGTGGACGCTCCAGTGACCTTGAACGCATGCTAGTCTTTGACCAAGGATACCTGTCATTACGAACGCTTTTCACCAACTAAGGATCACGTTTTTAAGTACTGTTTGGATAATATGTTAATGATTCTCTAGGTTTAGGATCAGGATTATAGTTAGGGTTGCAATTAGGGATAGATTTAAATTTGGTATTGTTTATTTGAATTTGTTTTATCATTCAAATTTTTCCAGTAAGTAATCGTCGATTCTCATACTGGAAACTATAGTAATTCAACCGACGGCTTTTGTGGAAGCCTGCAAAACAGGATAAGAGCGATAAACTGGTTACAAAACAAGCCTACATCAAGTCACCTCAGTGAATAAATGTGCAGAAGTGGGTCTAACTTAAAAACTGATACTCCTCATCATAACTGGGACGTATTTTTAAGTCATTTCAGGGAAAGATACCTTATTTAATGTGTTTTCATGCATTTTCTTATAAATAAACGTCACTTTTCGTGCAAAAGTTACTTATTTTTATGGTTGGTTGGCTCAAGGTCACTCGGGCGTTCGCATCCCATGGGACACCATTGTTTAACTTAGCCCCTTGTATTACATATATATGGTTGTGCATTTGAATAAGTGTGAACATGCCTTATCTATATATATGATTTAACATATTGATGATGCCTGGAAACTAGCGCCCTTAATGCGCAAACAAATATTCAAACATCCTCCTTCTTTTCCATGGTCATTCACGTAATTTGTACACTGTCATATAAATTATCTTTTCTCCTATGCTCGTAAGTGTCAGCTTAAATTTTTACTTTATCATTACTACTGTTTTTTCTTATTCCTTTACGTTCCCAATGGAACACAGGGCTCTAAGCTAGAAGCTTGAAGTTTCAGTAGCATTGGCATTTATTTTTGCAGGATGGGGTTGCTAGCCTCATGCCCAACCTTCCTTCTTTACCAGTCTTACTACTGGCTTAGCGAGGTAAAGGAGTGCGGCGTTGGCCAGGGGTCGAACCCCGAACCACCTGCGTGGTAGGCGAGCAATCTACCGTTGTGCCACCGACTCACATTACTGTTTTAGCTGACTCACATGACTTGTATCTCAGTTTTCTTAAGTAACTATCATTTGGTTCATCATTCGAGGTCTTTCACTATTCCCATTGTTAATATGAGAGCAAGAAATATAAGCGAACAATACTGTTTTCAATTAGATCTTGTTCAGGCTTTACTCTAATTTACATAACTTTATATACAAAAAATTTAACCAATGACAGTGAGCTTGGGGATCAAATAATAATAATAATGATAATAATAATAAGCGTTTAATGTTTTGAACGTCAGTAATAACGATGTTTGTAATGACAAGAAAATAATCACAATAAGCTTTGTGCACGTGGCAATAAGAATAACGAAAGTAGAGTAATATGTGTATATGTAGACAATTCATTCAATAAATAAATGAGGTCAAATCTTAAAAGTTACATAATACTAAAGGTGAAGTGGACAAATAATCAAAGTTTAAATAAATATCATACAGGTACTGATTCATTCACCCATTTCACTTGATTATCATTATTTTACAATATCACCGATTATGTAACAACCTCCTGGTAACTTCCGTAACCATATTCTCTCCTCATGCATCTCACAGTTAAAATTTCACCGTATAATTTGTACAATTTTAATGCAGTATTTCAAGGAAAATGTATACATTACTGTACCACCGTTAATGGACTATATTTCTTGGTGTTTAAATTTGCTATTTTGTTTTTCTAAATGTCTAAATAGAAATTTTGAAATTATGATTGGTTAGCTATGATTTACGGGCGCTAATTCTATATTATTACTCAAAGTGCTGAGCAGGTTTTTAAATAGCTGTATAACCTTGTAAAATTATACCACATTTAATTGTACTTGTAGGGGAAAGGCACGCTTTTCAAATGAATGCCTTACTTTAAAAAAAAGTTTCTCGTGACATTTACGTGATTATCATTATTATTATTTGATTTACTTCTAGGGAGAACAATAGAAATGCAAATAACAACAATAATAATAGTTTTTATAAAGGGGAGTAGTCATAAAGGCATGTATATATGTATACAATTGGAAGTTTTGAATTCATCTGTCCACTTGAATATCGAATCGAAAGTCATGTGAAAATAATGTGGGAAGCTAAAAGCAGATCAACATTTGTAATTACATGTGTATAAAGAGAAATATGCTTGTTTTATTAATTTTTACACAAAAATATTCAATGTTCCAATATTCAAAAGAAATAGCGCCATTTTTGAATAAAAAAGAATTTAAAAGTGTACAAATGATGGTATCTATCTGTCTTTCAATGCGAACAATCTGTGAATTATCTTCATGGCAAATGAATATTAAAATAGTAATCTGACATCTTTTTATCGTATAAAACAAAAATTAAAATTGACTGTTGAGCATTTACATATATCTATGTATAATGACGTACACAGTTTTAGTAATTGCTTTATAGGATATAGAGAGTGTTGGGAATACAGAGAGTGGAAAAGAAGGGTGATTGTAAATAAAACAGGGAGGCGTTTCTTTAAAAAACGTATATTAGACAATGAAACTGATATTAGGGTAGAGTTTAAACAACTATAAGATTAAAAATTCTGGGAATACAAACGGGGTATTTCAGGGGCGTTTGGGTACATATATGTGTATAGAAAAAGATGTTTAGAAAAAAACAAAAAACAAACGCAGAATATTATCCAGTTATACATGTTCATGAATAATGTTCACATTAGCATCATATCTAGTCTTTTGCCATTTATAAATACATAGAAAAATCAACTGGCATAATACAAATGCTCCAATACCATATGATTCAACATTTTGATAATAATTCACAGATGAACATTCATTCCATAATAATTCAATAATTTGTATAACAATACCATTCGCTAATTTATCTGTAAATGACATATAACCATAGACGAATGCACCGTGTTTTTGATTTTTAGCTATTAAATCTGACACCATAGCTAGCGATGTAATCAAAATAGTTGTACAACCAATGCCTAAAATACCAGCAGCAATATAAATACGATGAAGTAGCGGGGGATTACCAGGATAACTGACTAGTATACAAAAGATTGTGACAAAAATAAGACCTATACCAGAATTCATCTAAAAAAGAAGAAAAAAACAAAGACGAAAATGTGAAGGAGGCAAATCAAGGGGGAAATAGTCATTGGAAAATTAGGGTGGTCAGCGGGGGTGTGTTTTCAGAGATTGTATCCTGAAAGACAGGGATACTATCCAGCACCTGCCTTCACTCTGGGGTAGAAAAACTGAAGGAAGAGAATTTGTAACTCCTTGAGGAGGACTTATTCGATGACGACGACGACGACTCTAAAAGTCCTATTCTCTAGTCACTCACCGATTCTAAGCAACTTGAAGGACAAGTTTCCAAATTCAAAACACTCCAATGTGTGTAAACAAGTTTACCTGCACCTGTGAGGCTTGGTATATAGGTAGTTCTCTGAGAGTTCTTTCAAAGCTAGTTAGGGAATATTACTCAGAATGACTGCAAACAGATGACACTGGTTCACAATCAGATGTGCTATTATAAAGTATCCCACGAGCACTCGTCGCATTATCTGAACTAACTCATCCTTCAGAGTCATTTACATCATGCACCATGCAACTATAATTCCAAGCCAGTAGATTTCTAGTCTCCATGCTGTTTGTGATTCATTTTCACCTCTCATAGTAAAGAAAAATATTCTTTCCACTTAACTTCAACTTTGTCATAACATTCAGTTAAATGCTACTTGTAAGTAGGCTAATTCGTAGAATGAAAATGTACGAAAAATTGCAACTGTATATGCTTTTGATTGAATACTAGTTAGTAACTAGTGTTATGTATCCAGTCCTATGTTTGGTGCAGACTGAATTCTGTCAGTCACATTTTGCAAAATGGCCATTATTCTACGTGTCTCGCCATCACGGTGCACTTTGAATTGTTGATATTAGATGGTTGGAAGCAAACGGCAACAGGAAGCATTGGATCGTGCACCATGATGGCGAGCCACCTAGAGTGGTGGCCATATTGCAAATGTGACTAATAGAATTCAGTCTGTACCAAACAGAGGACTAGACAGATTACACCGGTTACTTACTAGTATCCAATACAGTCCTACAATAGGTCAATCACGAGGCCGAACAGTTCAGTGATAATGTCTCTGACTGCAGCACTGGGTGATGCGGATTCGAATCTCAGAAGGGACATGAGTTCCTTTAAGGTGTCAGATACGCCTTGCTGACTGGTGAGTGCCAACTAGCAGGAGACCTAAGTCCAAAGCTTCCTGCCAATTGCCTCCAACCATCTAAATGTATATGCTATTGAGAACGAAATCATAGGAAAGATATTCTTGCTGAACTTGTTATTTTCTTTCTGCAGCTAAGAGTTACGCAAAACAATCTTCTATATAGTGTTGGAATTACATGATTACTAAAAAATTGAAATAATTTTTTATTTTCTTTAAAGGTAGATTTTTTCACCAGATGGCATCAACTGGATGACTCATAAACTGAAGGAGTGGTGGTAGTAGTTTGGGGAAGTGTACTGCCGAAACCAACATCATGAAGGGATGAATTCATGACACTTAGGTTTTCTAGGGAAGATGATAAAACTCACTCATCATCATTTTCTCCCCCTGGCTGAAATTAAATGATCCATGACTTGGAATTCCTGTAGATTGTCTACCTTCAAATTTCCTCAGTGCTTCTTGATTTCCACTCACTCACTCACTCACTCACTCACTCACTCACTCACTCACTCACTCACTCACTCACTCACTCACTCACTCACTCACTCACTCACTCACTCACTCACTCACTCACTCACTCACTCACTCACTCACTCACTCACTCACTCACTCACTGACGCACTCGCTGTACTCATCATACCGCCAACTTTCATCAGTAGTTGAGTTTTAACATTTTATAAGAAATAATCCCCGGTTGATAATCAATACTCACTTGGATATAAGTAATAAGTTAAAATTACTCTTTTTTAAGAGAGAGACAGAGAGAAAGATATAGTCTGAGCTGAAACTTCAAAAAGAGACCAGTGTTTTTGATGTGGTTGTGTTCTCTGAGTTATATGGTTAATTTGAGGAGCTTTCATTGCCCTACTAGGCATCATCTTCAGAGCATACATCATTTTGAAGTGAGCTTTTAGATTTCTCCACGAGTTTATTAGTCATCTCTCCCGATGGCCTTGAACGAGATTGGTTGTTTTTGTGTGTTTTCACACCCTCTAGGCTACTTGTATTGGAACTGATTGTTTCTTTGATTTGAACTTTGACCCTTTGTGTGTGAAGTTTCTTTCTTATCGGTTGATAAATTTTGTCTATCTCAATGTGTCTATTGATACACACATTGATACAATAGACACATCGAGATAGACAAAATTTATCAACCGATAAGAAAGAAACCTAACACACAAACGGTCAAAGTTCAAGTCAAAGAAACAATCAGTTCCAATACAAGTAGCCTAGAGGGCATGAAAACACACAAAAACAACCAATCACGTCAAAGGTCACCAGGAGAGATCACTCATAAACTCGTGGAGAAATCTAAAAGCTCACTCCAGTGAATTGAAGTATGCGCTGAAGATGTTGCCTAGTGGTGAGGCAATCAAAACTTCTCAAATTAACCATCTAGCTCAGAGAACACAACTACATCAAAATCATCCACCTGAGCTACAAATCTTCTCTATCATATCCAGAGACCAGTGTATACAAGCCATAGCTGATGCCTGTAATTCTCAGGGTAAGTATCCTTTTCAAATATCTCCTTCAAACAACACATATACATATACGCTTAATCACTAGGCATCCTATTTACAACAACATGGAATCATAAACCATTGATTAGTCTAAAGCTGACATTCTCAAATTATCAAATGATTACAGAAATGTTGTTGCACTTTAAATCTTTTATCGTCAGTTTTCGTTTACTTGAACATCATCTCTGTGGTTAATAAATACACTTGAAACTTTATTGATCAAATCAAACTGAGTTGACCCTAATGCGATAAGAAATCTAGAGAATGGTTCAGTTGTAGAACTCACCACATGCAATTACTCAAAACCATACATTATAATGGGATAAGAATATAGTTGTATTATCTGTTATAAGAGGATGGAGGGAGAGATTAATAATGGAAGCTTGATTCATCGAATCAACTGAAGAGAATACGTGTAATGGAAGTGATTCAGCAGCTGTCCACCCGGACAACTGGAAAATCCTACTACTCCTACGATGAATAGGAAGGAATAGAGAAAACTATAAAACGAGAGTTTCGAAGTTGTGTGGTTATAATTGATATGATTTTATGAACAGTAATAAATTGTATTCTAGACTTCGTCATCCAGTAAATAATACTGTATCACTCTGTGTGATATATCTAATAAACAAATCAGTTCAAGTGTTGGTTTGTAGGGATTTGATTGGTTACAGGATTTTCATCATGAGCTGACATCAGTTAGAGAACCATTGGAAAACCTGTGAGTACTGGACAGCTGTTTCGTCCTAGTCTGGGACTCTCCACAGTACGCACCCACCATCACAGTTCAAACCCAGGGCCTTTTGGTTACAAGGCGAGCGAGCTCGTATACCATTAAGCCACTGGGACCCGATCCAATGGCCCATGAATTCTAACTTCTGCCAATTCATGACATAGCGCAACCCCTAGCCAATGTCTTCAGCGAGTATTTGTCCTCACACCTGACCTGCTGCACCCTACTACCAGTAGGGCAGAAGTTGGAATTCATGGGCCATTGGATCGGGTCCCAGTGGCTTAATGGTCTACGAGCTCGCTCGCCTTGTAACCAAAAGGCCCTGGGTTCGAACTGTGATGGTGGGTGCGTACTGTGAAGAGTCCCAGACTAGGACGAAACAGCTGTCCAGTACTCCCAGGTTTTCCAATGGTTGTCTAACTGATGTCAGCTCATGATGAAAATCCTGTAAATAAATCAGTATTGTATTACAGACTACCTCAGGGCGCAAGTTATGCACATTTATTCAGTCAGGAGACAGAGTTATGCCTGGATCAGACTTAGATTAAAGATAGACTAAGATTAAATTTAGGTTCATGTTACATTAGTGTTAAGGTTCGATTGGATTATGATTTAAGTTTAAGTAATTTTTCAAGATCAAAACTTCTCCATGAATGTTGAACAGTACTCATTATTAATAATAAACTCGATTTATTGGTTATATAACTGCATTATCACCAACAAATGTATGACTGACTGCTCCAAGGCGATCTGTAGACTTATTCACTCTGTACCCTATGAAAGACTAGTTTCAACATAGAACTTTGCACAGATGTGCAGCAGTTCAAGTTGTCACTCCCTCCACCTATGCAGTACACAAAGCAAGAGAATACGGTAAATAGATGTTCAAATGAGAGATAATAGCCACAACTGTGAGGGAAAAAGAATAGTAATATGGAAGGACAGTAGATTTTTATTGGATATTATATGAATCACAAAGAGTGAATGCATCTACGCCAGCCATTGAGAACGAGAATTTTGAGGCATATCACCAACTGTCCCCAGCCATCGTTGGTTCTTACGATCCCGAGGACCCCAAACAGCCAGGCAGTCTACACTTCCCGACATGACTTAAACTAACTGTCACAGATTTCGTTGACTGATGAAGCCGTGTGTCAGTTTGAGCACCACTAGTTCTTTTCCAACCTGATCCTATGTTATCTAGCATCATCCATCAAGGAAGGTGATGGCTAGGCATGTGTAACCACGTTTCCTAACCATCTCAGTTAATGTGACTTCACAGTCTCGTTGATTGATTTCTCCTCTTTACCTAACACTTGAAGCCTCACCTCAGTATTGCTCACCTTACTATACTGTCTAACACGGGAGATGGAACGCAGGCACCTATGATCGAAGGCGACTAGCCAATGGTCTTGTCTCACTCACAATAATATAGGAGTACGGAGCGAACTATTGGGTGGTAAACATGTCCTTTAGTCGACAGCCAGACGGATATCACGTTTACTAAGCCAGAGATGGCATAAGTTAACATATGCCAGACGAGCCTCCTGTATCCATGCTGAGATTTTGTCAGCGATCAATCCGCTGCAGCTGACTGATAAGTGATAAGTGAAGTTGTCAACACGCTCTACCAATCCACTCCCTATCTCTGAGCTAGGAGTTGGTGTATTCTAGTCCTGTAGCATAGCATAATCTTACATTTGACAGAAGCGCACGAATCGCATGCCAAACATTCGAAGACTGTTACCTGTCAAGGTGTTCAGAGGACTCTGCATTGTTTTTTCAGCGTCTTCACCTAGGAGGGAGGGCTATATCATCCGCATCTACTACGTCAACGAGACTACTCCGTGATGGTAACAAGTCAATCCATAAGTCTCTGATGTCAATTAGCGTCAATTCCATTAGAGCATCTATGATGAAATTAAACAGGAATGCGGACAATGGGCATCCCTGATGGACACCACTAGTTATCATCACTTCAGATGACAAGTCTCTATTCTTTCACTTCACCTACTGAGCATAAAACCATCTAATACAACAAAATGTCACAAAGGCGAATAAAACACAGACCTGTAGAATTAAGAAAACTATAACAACATTAGGATGAAGGTTAGGTGTTTTACTCTTGATCATGATATAACAACCAATATTATTATTATTACTGTTAATGTTCACTGAAAGAATTAATATTTCGAGAATAAAGGTGACATTTAACTGTGATGAGGAGATTTCAATATAGCGAACATATTCATTCAGACATCCACAGAAAACAAAAAATTGAGCAAAGAATATCCTTTTCGATAATTTCCTCTGCTGGCTCTACAATTATGTGTATGTTTATATACATAGACCATTCTAGAATAGTCGTCAATGGCGATATTGGTGTTTTCTAAATAATATCGATTTGTAAAGTAAGATCAATGGAATTACAGTTCACTAAAGATGTATAAATTATAATAAGCATAAAAATATAGTATTAAATAGAATATCAAATAAAATTAAGGGAATTTCCATAACAAGTTGAGGATCATTAAAGCCCTGATTGACAGGGAAGGTAAGGACAGTGTTTGAACCAACCTCTGTTGGACACATAATTTAGGTCTGTTAATGTGGATCCGAACGGCCTCAGCAATATGTAGTAGATGAACTCTTAAGGTGAAGTTAAAATTAGTTGGTATGCGGTAAATGACTTTGAAAGCATGGTTAACATAGATCTTGTGTTCTGTATCCACAAGAAGAGATAGAATACAGCTATGAATGGACTTTGTTTGTCCTTTACTTAACCACGCAGGGTGATGTTCGGAAATCTGACGAGGAACACGCCTAATTGTACGGCCTATGTAACTGGCTCCACAGCAGCAGTGAAACTGGTAGATTAGGCGGTTTATCTTGTATTCCCTAATGCAAAATAGAGGTGGTTTTGAAGACACCGTAATTCACCAGCACTGAATGCTCTTTTTATCACATTTCTAAAGCGTTTTGTTAATATCTCGCTGATGTTATCCCCGAGGAACTGAAGTTGTAAGAATAATGCCTTTTTAGGAACTTTTGGTACCTTGGGCTGCCTCGGTTTTTGATTCATATTCTTATCAATAAATTTTTCTGGATAACAGTTCTCATTCAGCAATTGTTTAATAATATTAAGTTCTTCATTAAGACATTCATCAGAGCAGATTGCTTTTGATGTGTGGACCAAGCACCTTATCAGATTACGTCTGTATTTCAAAGGCACGAGGCTGAAAAAATGAGTATACTGACCAGTTGATGTAGGTTTCCCATTATTATTATTATTATTATTATTATTATTGTTTCCTTTAATTCCTAGAGGAACATAGGGCTTCAGCCGTGCATCTCCATTGCGTTCGGTTCTCTGCCAACGTTTTCACCTTGCTCCATGTTTACCTACATGCTTTCATCTCATCTTCACATGACCTCCTTCAAGTCACCCTTGGACTACCAACTCGCCACTTCCCATTAGGGTTCCACTCAGGCAATGGTCTGGCGTATGATGTCATTTGATGGTTTGTTTTCTTGGAGTATGGCCAATCCACCTCCATTTCTTGTGCTTATTTGTTGCACAATCGGTTCCTGGTTGGTTCGCTGCCAGAGATCCCTCCCTGTTGCTGATCTTTTCTGACCGGCCATCTGATCTTGAGTAGTATTGAGCGAAGACAGCTGTTGGTGAAGGTCTGTAGTTTGTTTCAGGTGCTCCTCATGATGCGCCAAGTCTCTGATCCATAAAGTAGTACTGACTTGACATTGGAGTTGAAAATCCGGATCTTATTTTTCATGCTGAGTTTTGTTGATCTACCTCCACACAGACTTGAGAGTGATGGAAGCTTGTCTTGCTTTCCCGATCCTCGCTTTGATATTCTCATCAATTCCGTCCGCCTATAGTTGAAACGATGCCTCCCAAGTCAGTAGGTATGTAAAAGAGGTTACTTCTTTCAGATTTCTCGCGTGTATGCTGATCGTTGTCTGTTGTTGTTGTTGCTGCTGGTGGTGTTGCCCAGGAATCTTCATCACCTCTGTATTTTCTATGTTCACCTGAGAGAAGTCGCATCTTTGATGCTTCTTCTGCCAACTTGTTGCTTTTCACTCTCATATCTTCCAGTTTGTGGGAAATCAGACATATATCATTGTCGAAGTTCAGATCCTTCAAGTTTTTTGTGTGGGTCCATTTTATGCCTGTTTCCAGGTTTTCTATATACACTTCTTATTGTACCCTCCCCTTTTCTGGTCATATGGACGTCTACAAATGAAGCACTAGAGTCTTTTTCTTTCTCAGTGGTAAAATTTATTACAGGACGAACATCTTTAAATCTTTCCAGGCAGGTTGTTCTTTGCTTCAATCTCATTTTTCATAATCAAAAATGTATCATCCATGTACCGATAGTAGAATTCTAGTTCATCACTTACATCTTTCAAAGTTCCATTCTTTAGTTTCACAAGGTGAATGTCTGCTAGCATGGGTCCTAGTGGCGACCCCCATTGCTACACCATCGATTTGTCTGTATAGTTATTTCTTTATTAAAGAAAAAGTGGACATTCATTGTGTTCTACACAGTTCTACATTGTCTCTCTTTCTGTTATGCGTGATTAATTCCCTTGAACATAAATGTATACAAACAAACTTAGTTGCTTTGTTTATAGTATATATATATATATTTCGTTACATTGACAAGGTTTATTCATGTTTATCAATTTCGTTAGTTATTACGCGATTACATAATAGCGATACATTCCAGGCACTTGTTTAAATCATATTGTAAACAAAATGAATAATCCTGTCGATTTGAACAATCACGTTTTTACTTTATTATTTTTTTCTATTTCTTTTAATTCAGAGTGTGAATGAATTTACGTATACATATATAGCCCATTATGTACAGTTTAGTTTAGTTTGGTTTAGTTTAGTCTATTGAAAGTACTTATTATATTAAATTACAGTTAATTTGAAGTAGACATAACTTAATATTACTTGTTGTATATTACGTTTTTGTTTAAACTGATAAACTACGGTGAAGTCATACTGTTGGATAGATTATCGAAGCTAATAGTCTAGTGTCTTTGGATAGACTGGCAATTGAATTAGCTTAATTACTAGGCCTTTCAATCAGTTGGAAAAAAAAACTGAGTTCGATTAAACCTCTTCAGCTGTTTCGTCCAGGTTTGGGACTCCTAAGAAGTATGCGTCTACTGAGATTCGGACACAGGACCTTCCAGTTATAAGGTAAGGTCGTTAACCATTCAGACACTGAGACTTGATACAATGACCTGTGAGTTCTAACACCTGACTTCGTGGGTCTCGATAAATAGCCACGTAGGAAACTGTAGACTTCCTGGTTGGGGTCCTCAGGATGGTAAGAACCAACGACTGCTGGAGACAATCGGTGATATGCCTCAAAATTCTCGTTCTCAATGGCTGGCGTAGATGCATTCACTCTTTGTGATTTATATAATATCCAATAAAAATCTACTATTCTTCCATATTACAATTCTTTTTCCCTCACTGTCTTTTGAATCCGTCTTTAATCTGTTCTCTTGCTTTGTGTGCTATATGGAGGGGGGGGAGTGAGGCAATTCGAACTGTTACTCATCTGTGCAAAGTTCTATGTTGGCTGAAAGCTTCACGAGGTTCTCTTGTAACCGGAAGGTCCTGGGTTCGAACCCTAGTGTGTGCGTACCGATGAAGAGTCCAAAACTAGGCTGACGAAACAGCTGTCAAGTACTCCTTGTTATTGGTTTTCTAATGGTCCTCTCTATCTGATGTCAGCTCGTGGTTAAACCTGTAACTCAACAAATCTCCTGTGCAAACCAACATGTGGAGAGAAGTTCTCACTTCAAATCATAGATATGCATAGAAGTGTTGATGTTCTCGATGTTGTTCACATTTTTGAGAAACCGTTAGATTACATCAAAAATTGCAATGATGATTAATGAATAATCGTGTAAAGTGTTTATATAATGGTACAGAGTTGTTTGTCATACAGATAAAAGAACATGAAATGCAGGCATTTCCTATTTTGCATAATTTCTCTTTTGGATAAGCCTAATTGTCTGCTTTCCTATTCTCCAGTATTCCTTACTGGATCACCTTTCGAATACAACTGATTTATTTACTGTCTCCCAGTGTAATATTTACAGTCAACAAATTAATGTGGAAGAGAGGTTTCTTCTTAACGAACCATCTTTAGATATTCTGGACAATTGTGTTTATATTCAAGACAGAATTCATGAAATTAGTAAAATACTGGCAATTATGTCTCATCAAAAATATTTTACACAGTATGAGGAATAATGTAGAGTGGAGTGTACAAGTGAGGTTAATAAGGCGGTCACAGACGTTACCACTGAGCTACCCGGGTTTGCTTTCGATCTACTGTAGGACTGTTGTGGACACTTTTGATTGGACGCTAGCTAGTGTCATGTGCCTAGTCCTTTGTTTTACTGCAGACTACGACATTAGGTGATACGGGTTCTAATCTCAGAAGGGACATGAATTCCTTCAAGGTTGCAGATACGCCTTGCTAACTGGTGAATGCCAACTAGCACGAGGCCTGTGTCTGACGGCGCTTCCTGCTGATTGACTCCAACTATCTAATATAATCAAGTCAATGTGCAACGTGATGGTAAGCTACCTAGAATGGTGGCCTCATCGGAAACCTGACTGATAGAATTCAGTCTGCAGTAGACAAAAGGACTAGACGCATAAGACTAGTTACTAGTGTCCAGTCAAAGTGTACTCTTAATGTATAATTCACTTTCAATGACACTATATGTAGAGAAAGTGATGGTCCTGCAATGGATCCATTACTAGCAGACTTTTTCATGGCTAACCCCGAGAACAGTACATTAAAGACGATCACTGACAATTTACAACTATATATAAGGCATGTAGATAACACTTTCATCATTCTCGACAATAGTTATGACCTCATCCGATTGTTACAAGTATTTATCAACTGCTGTCTGGCAATGAAATTCACTTTCGAAATGGAAAACGAATTCGAAATTCCATTTCTTGATGTGAAAACAACAAGACAACCCGACGGAACCTTAATAAGGTCAGTGTATTAGAAAAACCACTTGGAAGAGTCAACTAAAAATTTCAACAGCTGGGTCCAAAAAGGGGCTTTACATTAACCTGGTTCTAAATGGGCACTTAACCTGTTATTTCCTTAAGAGAAGAATTTCACAATCTTTGACGAGAACATCCTTCGCAGTAACACGAAGAGCTACAGTTGTTTATTGGTCTGCAAGTGCCTTAAGGACAAGATCTTTCATCTGACTATTTCTATTTGCATATATCAGTTCATCTGTTCTTGTGAAGCCAGGTACACTGGTCGTTCGACGCGTATCCTGTTTAAAAAGGTCCAAGAACATTATCTACTATGGTTCCAGAAAGGTAGTAGTGGCTCTATAAAGACTGCTGTAATCGAACACCTTGTTAATACTGGTCACTGCATCTCAACAAACACCTCCTTCTTCAAAGTAATCTGCAAAGTGAAGAATAACCTGCCAAAGGCAATACCCTTTCATTTCCGTTGCATTTATGAAGCTTTAACCATTCAGTTAAACAAAAACCGAAGCTACACATACCAAAGAAAATTATCCAACCAATTCCACTATCATGGTAACAACCTTGTTTTTCTAACTCTTTCTAACTCTTGCTTAATTCCATATTTTCCTTCGTTTCTATATACATCCTGATTACAACTCATTCATTAAACTATTCATCTAATTATGTAACTCCATTACCCTTATTCAACTTCTCTTAAGCACTGACTATTATTAGCATCTATGATTGTGACAACTAATCACTTCTCTTACTATCCTCTTTCATGCAAAAGAGACTGTATACAAGTGCGATTGTACAACTAATGAGGAGAGTGAATTTACCGAGAACAGCCTCTTCGCTGAACCACATGTTTGTATTTTCATTCTCCCTTTAATGATTTAACATTGTGGTGAGAGCTGTCTACTGGCCAAATTGGTAGACAGTAATTTACGTCAATGTTTACGTTCTCAAGATTTGTCATGAGAAAATATGAACAAAGACCGATTCAAACCGACCACAGCAGACTTTGCGTAGGCGGATCCAGTTAACATATAGATGATCTGACATTCAAGAAACGGTCACAAAGAGATGAAAGATTAACTTTACGTGAGAAACAACCAATCAGAAGACTGTGTTTGTTTGCTTAGCTAATCTATAATAATGTACACGAAAATATATAAATATGTGTTGATTTCCTTAATAAAGGATCTGTTACCTGGCCCTTGTCTTCTGTTGTTACAACATTAAATAAAGACTGAACGATCAAGGAATCATTATCGCTAAATAAACCAAACTTTTTAAAACATTGGACATAAAACTAAATAAAGAAGAGGTGTCCAAAAGTTAGATGAGACGATTCTCTCTTATGTACCATCCATCGATCCGTCAGTTTTGCAATTGTTTTATAAATGATTTCGGTTTAAGATAATAAGAAACGCTATCTCAGCTTCGAAATGCCTAAGGTTCTAGATTTTCTTAAGTAATAATAATAAAAACCTTATCAGTAGGTGTGCAAATGATGCTTTCTGTGAAGATTTACTAACTGGTTATTATTATGGACTGTAACCTAAGGCAAGAAAGTCTGTCTGGTATCCTTTGAATTCTAATAGGTTTCACTAGCTATCATCAACTGGGTTTATTATTCGAAGTTTTGAATTTCCCCAATTGTTTATTGAACCTAAATAGTCAGTTCCCATGGCCTGTTTGTTATTCCTCATTATCCTTCATGTAACTGTTGTCGTTTATGGCATTTCATCTTGTCAAACGTTATGTTAATATATGTGTAACACTTCGGCACTGTGGTAGTAAGTAATTCCATATAAGTTTGTTTATTAGATATATCACAGTCAGTGAAACAGTATTATTTACTCGATGACGTTTCAAACAAAATTTATTGCGGTTCATTATCATATCAAATATAGTCACACGACTTCGAAACTTGAGTTTTATAGTTTTCTTTGTTTTCTCCTATTTGTCGTCGTATGGGTAGTAGAATTTTCCAGATATCTGGGTGGACAGGTGTTGAATCATTCCTTTTACACTTGTTGGTTTTCAGTTGATTCGATAAACAAAGCTTCTGTTATCAATCTCCCCCTCCATCCACCCTGTGACATTGGATTTTAAAACTGTCATCCTATCCCATCCAGCCTATTGTATGGTTGTGTGTAACTGCATGTAGTGAGTAGCACAGCTGAAATATTCTCTAGATTTCTTACCTTATTTGGATCAACCAATCTAGATTTTCCTAAGTTTTTATGTTTAGCTAGTCTGACTGCCCATGTTCTACTAGTCTGACCTATGTATTTGACCTGACAATCATTCCGGCAGGGTATTAGATAAACTAAATTGTTTTGTCTTAATGGCTCTACAGGATCGTTTAACCGACAAAGCTTGTTTCTAATTGAGTTTGTGGGTTTGAATGGTGGCCACTTTTATTCCTGCCTTGTTAAGAATTCTGCGTAAGGGCTTCCGAGGTTCCTTTATTGTATGGAATTACTACTGATGATTTAGATTCCTTATTGTTGGTGTCGTCATTACTATTATTATTATTATCATTATTGTCGTTATCATTATTATTGTTATTATCACTATCGCTACTATCATTATTTATTTTATTTTAACATTTCCCTACATATTTCCTGACTAATTTATCCGGGTAATTATTAAGTATCAGTTCCTGCTTTAGATTTTCCTTGGCGCTGCTTAGTTTTTGTGCTCTGGCATTTAAACATTTCACCAATCCTATTCTTACCGACATTGGTGTGACATTTGTGTTCTTTTTCATGAAATGTGGTGACTTGAAATGCTGCAGATTTTGTGGAAAGTTTTTTTGCTGAAAATCTCATTAGTCATATTGACTTCTGGGAAGAGACTCTTTGATGATACCTTTGATTTCACCTTGATTTTGTCTGATAGGCAATGGCTTACTGTGAAATTCAGGACATTTTTCTAAGTTGTTAGAGACAGCTACCAGGGGATATAAGTAAAAGCGTGCTGGATCTCTTTTGCAGTCACCACCTATCAGATAGTATCAAGGTAACTTGGTGTTTCCACTTTACGCTGAAGTGGTAGATGCAACCGACTGCAACTTCTTGTTTAAACTTCAGGATGTCCATTATGTAGACACTTTTTTATTTATTTTTTTATTCCTTCAAGTTCCCAGTGGAACATAGGGCTTCAAGGCAGAGCTTTGAAGTTTCGGTAGCAGTGGTTTTGTTTTATTTTTACGGGGTGTGGTTGCTAGCCTCATTCCCAACTTTTACTCTTTACCGGCCTTACTACTAGCTTAGCGAGGTAAAGGAGTGCGTCGGTCGGGGATCAAACCTCGAACAACATTCGTGGTTGGGGAGCATTCTACCTCTGAAAAACCGACGCCAAGAAATATGGAATGCTTCATGATTTTGCGTGTCGTCCTTGTGCAGGGGCCATGCTAATCTTCTCTGTATCGTTCCAATTTTAGTATATGTACAACGGAAGTGAGTACATGTAGCCACTAATAAACTGGAAATTTATACTCAGAATGTTGGCTTCTGTGGAGATTTTGTAGATTTTGTCACAAACCAACATCTCTTAGGCAGTCATTGCAAATACTAAGGAACTCTAGAAAGCTGTTTTGTCATGACTTGGGGCACCCATCGCCCTGTCACCGGTTTAAGATTAACAAACTAGTATGAAATAGTTGTCTATTGTTGCTCGACTTTCAATGATTCTCTAACTGATGTCTTTTTATGAAGAACTCCACACTGGAGTGAGTTATAATCATTAGGAAAACCAGAAAAATGAACAACCTGCAATTTGCTTGGAGGATTTCACCATGGGCTGACATCAGTTAGAGGACCATTGGAAAACCAACAAGGAGTACTGAACAGCTGTTTCGTCCCGCTAGTTTGGGACTCTTCATCAGTACGCATCCACCGGAGGTTCTAACCCAGGACCTTCTGGTTACAAGGCAAGCTAGCTTGGAGACCATTAAGCCACTGGGACCCGATCCATTGACCAGCTCATGAATTCTAACTTTTGCCAATTTCCCGATGGTTCTGTAACTGATGTCAGCTCATGACGAAATCCTCCAACCAATCAAACAAAATCCCTACAAAAACCAATACCTGAAAACTTGCTGTTTATGAAATCCATGAACTTACTTCACGACTAATGAAATCTTGAATTGGTTTTTGTACAATAATTGTAGCAATACTTGTTAGATAAACAGTTAATGGCACCAAAGCCATAGTAACTTTAGGCAAATGTAATGAATGCAAAAGGTAGACTGTTAAATATGCCTACAAAATAAAAATAAAAAAAGCATAAATAAAAATAAATAGTGGAATGAGAAAGCAAACATTACGAGATGACATCATTCAGTAGTTTTGCTACAATCGACTGAAGTTTTCACCATAGTTTCCATAGGAAACCATATTATCAGGAAAGCAAGCATATTTTGGCTAGAACTATATACTACTGACTTACTGAGGTGAGTAGTAGTATACCACCCATATCATCAACAAGTAGTGCTTGATAGCCAGTCAGATCGAGGTGATCTGACCACTTATAATATCAAGCAGATCAAAGTATGGGATCTGAATAATGTCACTAGTTGGCCCAAGTAGCTAACCAGGCAGAAATCGGGTGGTTTGAACTCAGTAAGCAACGAAATGGAAAGTCGTCCATTTCGTTGCTTACTGAGGCTGGTGTCCCTCAAGGCGCTGTCCTTTCTCCTTTTCTGTTTTCTTTCTTCTTGCATGACTTGCCTCACTCCAATGAAATGAACTTTGTTAAGTATGCCGATGATCTAACTATTTCAATATCTGTTAACTCCCAGCTTGATTGTACTAAGATAAACAACTTTCTATCAGGAATTAGCAAATGGTCTTCGTCTAACGGCCTTATACTAAATCCTTCCAAATGTCAGACTGTTAATTTCAGTTTCCGATGTAAACGAAAGTTAAATGAAGCTGTTGGTTCCTTTGACCCTTGCAAAATCGATGATACTGATGTAGAAACCAAATTTGAAGTTAAGTATCTTGGATTAATTATCTCTTCTAACCTATCCTGGTCCTCCCATGTCTTAGCGATTTCTAAAAGAATATTTCATCTGACTTTTTACATTAAGAAGTTAAGGCACTCAGGCATAACTCAACCACTCCTCTTACAGTTTATCAACTCATGTATTTTACCTATTCTTCTTTACTGTTCACCCTTATTCTTTCCTGGATTGCTTAAAAAAGACTATGTCATACTTCTTAGAACTCTGAAGACTGTCAGTAGGTCGAGTGGTATCCCATTGGGCCATATCGTTGACATTGTCACTGATAGGTACTTGGTTTCATGCAACAAATTCGCTAAAGGAATTTCGCCAGACTCTAAGCACCCACTCTACCCGCAGCTCCAATCGTGTGTCTCCTCGGGTAAAACAAGAAGTCTTTTCAGAAGACTTTATGCACGTACGTCTAAGTATAACAATTCCACTATACCATATTTGGCACGTAATTTATGTGATGAAAATAGTGTTAGGCATGAACTAACTAACCTTCTTTGCACTACTAAATAAACCATTCCCTCCACCCTTACACCATCAAACTTTATTGTTATTGTATTTCTTATATTTATAATCCTCTCAAATTTTGTTTTGTTTATTTTTTTTCATAAGTGTGAACATCATTTAAGCTGTATTTTAACTGTTAATTTTGTATTTTCCCTCTCTGTACTATATCAAGAGAACATTAGATCCAATAATCTATAACATGCTAAAATTTCCAAACTGAATCGACAATACTGTGTTTTGAAACAAAGTCACTGTTATAATAATAATAATTATTACATTTAATAATCTCAATTCGTTCTTCGAATATTTTTAACTTTATGTCATAAATGTGGACGAATTCCTCTGGTTAATTTTGTTTTAATTTTAAATTTTATTTATATTTTGAGTAAATCAGATGCAATATTGAAAGAAATGCTGAGAATTCCATTCTGTACTATAAGTACTGTTTTTGGAATAAAGTAGATTATTATTATTATTATCATTGGGCTTTCTGAGCTGAGTCAGAACCGGGTACACCACTGATGAGCGAAACGGCCGTCTAGATAACCTCGCTAATCTGGGTGTTTAGCAAGCACTACTGGTTGATATGAGTAGTATGTAACTATTCATCTAAATCAATCAATCAATCAATCGATAGTATATAGTTTTATGCATATTAATAGCCAGTCATATTTTAACAGGTCAAGTAGTCCAGGGTAAGCGAAGCTTAAAGTAAAACCTCTTGATAGCTCAGTCATCTACCAAGAACACATCCTACTCTGTATCCCTCTTCCTAGCCTGTCAGACATTTTAGCTTCCTGTTCCTACTATTACAGAATAAGCTTCTATGATCTCTTCTTTATATTGTATCTAGAAGTTCACCTGCGTTTGTGGAGACACATATAGAAGAATTATTATTATAGTATTCCTTTACGTTCCCAGTGGAACATATGGTTTGAAGCTACAGCTTTGAAGTTTCGGTAGCAGTGGTGTGGGTTTTTTATTTTTACGGGGTGGGGTTGCTAGCCTCATGCCCAACCTTCCCTCTTTATCAGTCTTATTTCTAGCTTAGAGAGAGAGAGGAACAGGAGTGTTTCGGCCGGGGATTGAACCGCAGACCATCTACCTGGTTGGTGAGCATTCTACCGCTGTGCCATCGACGCTATATATAGAAGGAACCAATAGAATATTCCATTGTCGTTGGAAATAACATGTTACTTTAAGGGGGGTTATTACGTCATATAGAGAATCTAAATGCACTTAAACTGAATAGAAGTTCAAAATCATCCATTGTAAAACACTTATTAGTATCTGGTCAAAAAATAAACACATACTAATGATCGTTTCTCATATTTATTTGACCTAATATTAATTCAAAGTTATTGAAAGTGATAGAAACACTGTGGTTCGCTAAGATGTATTCCAAATTATGTGTCCAAAATTCTTTTGCCTATCATGGACTACTCTTTTTTGTACTCCTTTGTGTTCCGCTTGGAACATAGGACGACTTCAAGCATGAGCTTAGACTTTTCAGTAGCAATGTAGTTTATTATTTACTTTACAGGGAGGGGGGTTGCTAGCCTCACGCACAGACTTCCCTATTTGCCAGGCTTTTTATCAGAAATAAGCCAGTGGTCCAATGAAAACTGTCTTACCTTAAATCCCTCTAAATGTCAAACAGTCACTCTCACCTTTAGGCATAAATCTGACCTAAACAAACTGGTTAGCAATCACGAGGTGTGCAACATAGATGGCACTGAAATAGAAACCAAATCGGAAATTAAATACCTAGGCGTCATTCTATCTGCTGATCTTTCCTGGTCATCTCATATCTTGGTGATTTCTAAGAAAATATTCCGTCTTACCTTCTACATCAAGAAGTTCAGACATTCTGGACTAACCCAACCCTTACTCTTACGATTCGTTAACTCTTGCATCCTGCCTATTATTCTCTATTGTTGCCCCCTTAGTTTTTCCAGGGTTACTGAAGAAGGACTATATCTTATTACGCAGGATTTTAAAGGTTGTCAGCAGGGTAAGCAACGTGACACTTAACCAGCTTGTTAATATTCTGGTTGACAGGCACATGGAATCATGTGAAAAATGGGCTAAATCCATTCTGTCTAACTAACACCACCCTCTTCATTCACAACTCTCCTCTTGTATCTCATCAGGCAGGACCAGAAGCCTATATAGAAAAGTATATGCTCGCACTAGCAAGTACAAAAACTCAACCATACCCTACTTAGTTCGTGTTCTGTGCGATAAAGAAAGCATTAGGCGTGAGACTTATGACTTATTAAATAGTTAGTAGAACAACCGGGTCTCGTCTTTCCAACTCATATCATTTATTGGTACAACGTGTTCTTTCTTCCTTTTCCCTTTATCTCTCTATCCCTTTTCTGTTATGTGCTGCCTTGTTTCTTTCTTCCTTACAAACTCTACTTAAAACATTCTTCTTCGTTCTTTCACACTCTGTATATCTCGACCTTTTGTTACCGCTTACGACAGTAAATATGATAGTATCAAGCTTTCTAACACCTTTAAAAATTCTGTTCACTTTTGGCTTTGCTACAGACATGCTAATATGTTGTTGTCAAAATTAACTAAGACTACCCATAATCTATGTAGAATTTTATTTATTGATAATGTACTAACTGGATGCAATACTGTAGTGAAATGCTGAGAATTCTATTCTGTATCACAAGTACTGTTATGGAATAAAGCATATTATTATTATGATTGGCTAAGCGGGATTTAGGAGTGCATCGGTAGGGAATCGAACCTCAGACCACGCGTGATGTCGTTGAAGAGTATTCTATCCACCAAACCACCGGGTTCGATCCCCGGCCGACGCACTCCTTTACCTCGTTGAGCCAGAAATAATGCTGGTAAAGAGGAAAGGTTGGGCATGAGGCTAGCAACCCCATCCTGTAAAATAAACACTGCTACAGAAACTTCAAGCCGCTAGCTTGAAGCCCTATGTTCCACTGGGGAACGTGAAGGAAAAGAACAGAAACCACCGACGCACCACAGACTACTTGAAGTTATAGAATATAACTGGCTATTAATAATCATTTTTATTTTATATAACTGATCAATTGTCAATCATGCTAGTTGTAACTCAAATGTAGAGAAACTACAATATGACGTCATTTAATAACACTTGTCTTCTGAAAGTCTCATTTAAAGAAATATGGTGACTAGCAGTGGGATCCAGTATAACGCGCATTTCGTCCTTGTCCACCAGCTGGATGTACCTGCATCCCCAGTGAGTCAGTGATGATGTTCCCACCGAGGCTCGAATCCAGTGCACATAGTTTCAGACGCCAGAGCGTTATCCACTAGACTATTTGGGCCACGAGAGCCACCTGTCGATTGTGCAACGGGTCATATTAATTATCATTTAATTGAATTTTTTAGATTTTCCCGTCGATTGATTGGACCGAAGTGCTCGGTCTCAGGTTGACATGTCGCCTTCGGTTCAATCAGTCGACGGGAAAATCCAAAAAAATTCAATTAAAATAAAAATATAATTTAAATATAATAGTTTTAGCTGCTTATTTATAAAGGCAGCATGGAGATGAAGATATCAAAGCTAGCCAAGATCGGAAAGGCAAAAACAGACATACATCACTTTGAAATTAGTGTCGAAATGCTCTGTATTCAGTCATCATAAAGTACATGATTAAGATTTTCAACACCAGT